AAACTGATAGCCCATTAGTGTGTACGATGGGGTGGCCTCCCCTTTAAATCTAAACCAAGCTTGTGAGTGCAAGGCAAAATGGACTCAATTTACAGTAACACTCTTTTTAATGTTTCTTTTCAATTTAGTCATTGCTGTAATGATAAAAAAATTAACGGGGAGACCAAAAACTAAATATAAAAAGCCGGGCATTTTTTTATTTTTCAGGTGATGGGATAATTGTATACCCACCTCCCCCCCAAAAATTAAAAAACATTTAAGGAAAAAATGCGAGGGGATGGGGTGTATTGAGTATTTTTTTTTTTTACGTTTGAATTTCTCAATTCCGGAAATATTTTTCAACCCGGGGGGAATTTTTTTTAAATTTTAACCCCAAAGGGAAAACAAAAAAAAAAAAAAAAAAAAAAAAAAAAAAAAAATCAAAAAAAACCCGGTGTTTAAGTTAAATAAACCAAGGGGAAAGATTAAAAGTATATAAATCTAATAATCATGAGAATCTTCTAATGAAAAAGGCCAGAAGACCATTAAAGCAAAGGAAATAACTTTGAAAGAAAGAAGAAGATTTTGGGACGTCAGGCTGGAAAGTGGAATTACTAAACTCGGTCACAAATGTTTCTCCATTTCACGTTTCTTTCAAACTGAAATTGTAAATCCGACTTCCAAATTTTCAAGAAAGTTAAACAAACCAATTATTTTAGTCACTACCACTACCGTTAAACTTCTCTCTTAAACTCTCTAACAGGAAATTTCTGAACAGTAATTTTAAATCAATAGACTCCCAAGAAAGGTATATTTCTGTCATACTGGGAATACATATCTATATACATAAATATCTAATAAAAATAATGTAACTGATAATCTTTTTATATATTTAAGTGTACAGAATAACTAGTACACATATGTACACAACACGTTTTTCAGTATTAAAACACTTGCATACAATTTTGCAACTTTTCGCCAGAAAACCAGTGGAATATGGCAAGCCTATTTCAGTTCCCGTGACCCAAAATAAGTTTCACGTCGTTGCCAAAATCACTGCGTCACCAATAAAGCCATCCGGGGGCTGACGGTGTCACTTACAAGCTCTAGCTAGTGCACTTTTGGCAGTGGCGCCTGCTGAACAGTAGAAGTCATGTAATCCGAACTAATTGGGAGTGTGGTCTGTTCGGATTCGGAAATGTTCGGATTATCCGAAAGTATGTACCGTACATACACAGAATACATCTATAGGATTACCAGACAAAGCAACGTAGCGAGAGATGTGAGAAAATGGCCCCAAAGCGTAGCGATCATATCACCACATCGCATCATCAAGCACCTTCAGTTCTTTAGGGCAAAATATTACAGATTTTGCGAGTTCCTCTACGTGAGAATTATTATTATTATTATTATTATTATTATTATTATTATTATTATTATTGTTATCATTATTATTATTATATTATAATTATTTTATTATTATATTATTATTATTATCATATTATTATTATTATCATCATCATCAGTAACGCAAGAGTCTCCTGCCCTGCTGTGAATAGTCAATGAAGTGATAGGGTGATGTTGAGAGGGAAAAGGACGATGGTAGAAGGTGGCAAGTGGTGTGATGGAGGTGGTCATTGAACCATTCCAGCATTCGCCTTATAACCAAGGGAAATCACAAAAAAAATCTGTCAGAATGGCCGGCCCGGGCATTGAATCCGGACCTCCCGACTGCGAAGTCGGCAAACTACGTACTGAGCCACTTTCCTCGAAAAGTGAAAATTACTGCTACTATTACATGTAAGATACACAGTATTTACCAGTGCAATAAACGTTTGATTTCGGCAACTTGTGTTTCAATAATTAGTCGTTTAGTTCTACAGTAATTATAAAATCCTTTCTCTTCACTACAAATAATCTTTTATTTATTGATTTATTTTTCCTGCAATCCGAATTGTGTTCAGATTATCCGAAATTTTCGGATTTGCAGGTTTCGGATTAGAGAAGCTCTATTGCACTACCGATAATCACCAACAGAGACCATTGCCTTTCTTACAAAGGGAAATATATGAAAAAAATTATTAAAAAATAAATGTTATTAATATTCGAAAGTGATATCTTTTGGCGGAAAATAGGACAAAATAAGTCAAAATAATTAAACATGTTGAAATCTACAACCTACTTATTTTCTTCTTACAAATTGTTTTTCTGTGAAATGTGTTACCATACTGTCTAGTTTCAAATATGTTATTTATTGCTAAGTAGACTAATGAATATATTTGTTTAGGGACTTTTGTAGTTTTGCACTAATAATAGTAACTGGTCGATAATTGTCTTTGAACAAATGTGACGAACAAACAGAAAAGTAAAAATGTGTATCATATTCGCAGCCTACATCGAGGTATTTAGCAGATTATTGTAGAATATTTCTTTAAAGGCAAGCATTAAGGTAATTACGACTTGTAATTTCCACAACTACTGAATATTTCAGTAAAATTTAATTTTACAACCAAATTAATTTCCATCCCTCATAAACTTCTTAATTACTCCGAAAATTGTAGTACGATTCATTCTTTTCGCAGAATGTTTATATTATAAAATCATTTGATAAAAATAAAAAAATAGATCAAAACTGCATTGTCAAGTTATTAAACCTTAAGAAATAGTATAAAATAGAGTGAATATACTCCAAAAAGTTTTTACTGTTCCTGTTATGTGGCAACAAAAATTCAGTTTTTATTAATGAATATCAAATATAAAGGATCATGATACATATGATATCATGATCC